TATTTTAGTTAGAAGTGAGTGACACATCTACAAGATCGTCAAGAATGTGTGGCTGTTATGAAGTGTGTATTGTGTGTGAGTGTGTGCGTGCGCTTGTGTGTGTGTGTGTGTGTGTGTGTGTGTGTGTGAGCAACGGATGTTGAAGTGTTTCCTTTGTTTTATTATGACATCCATACCATTGTCTTGGTGTGTGTCAGAAGTGTCTTCTGGCTTATCAGTTGAGACCATTAGTGTGTCCCACAGTAAACACAATCTTCTTCTTCGTCTCTTCCTTCATTTTCCATGTCGAGATATTCGCGGATGTGATGACCACATAGGAAAGAATGTTGACAAAAGACACCAGATTAGATGAAATAACATGTGCAAGACTGTGTGAACGAGTAAAGTGTGGATCCGGCAATGAGGGACGTATGAGAGAAATAGAACAAAGTCATTTGCTGCGGGAGACGGAGCACCTTTGGATATGCATAGTGTTCTATTATGTCGATTGTTAAATCAGTAATCAGTAACGATCTTCTGTGTGGCCTTTATAATGAGGTATACAAAACACAAGCTGCTCCTTTTTTAACTTTGAGACTGTTCTTGTCGCCGTTGTTCCATATTTTGCGTGGCCTATCGTCTGCTATTGTGTCAATTGTACTTCAGCGTAGCCGTCTGTGACTGCTAGTACCAGGCCATTCTAGTTATATGACAAAACCATCTCATATCTTGCTATTTAATGAACTGTATGACTGGTTGCATTGGTAGTCTTCTGTTTTTTAAATTTTCCTTTGATAATTTATCAACTGCTGGTTTAACTTCAACAACAACAACAACTCCACATAGTCGCAAACCGATTTAGTCATTGGGTCAAACATGCAGTCACTAATAGTGCCCCCCCCCCCCCCCAGAAAAAAACCCCACACACATAAGAAGTCAACATTCATTAACAACATGTAAAATGTAAAAACAGCGTTGATAAATGAAGGCAGACATAATTCAGTGCAGCTGCATGTTTTCGTAAATTTGTAAATGTAATTGGAACATGTGTGTATGAAAGGAATTGAATATAATCGGCATTGCATTTAAAGGCTTACAATTATACTTCATACATTTGACTCCACGATTGGCAGTCGTTCATTGTAACACAGACACATATGATACCTTCATGCCCTTAAAGTCGTTTACCGTAATTTAACAACTAAGAAGCACGCATTTCCTTCCAGGCTTTCAAGTAATTTAATGTAAAGTATCGACATAAATATATATATGTACATCAATGATTTTAATCATTTACAGTATTGTGGCAATAAGGATACAGTCAATGCCTTCTAGGGCTTCAGGTCTTTAAGGTTATGCATCAACACAGATACTGGGATACAATCATTTATCCTCAAGATGTAGTTTTCTTCTCATTTACAGTTTTGTATCAACAAGGAGAGACTAATTTCCTTGCAGGATTTGAAGTCTTTAGAGTTATGTATCAAAAGGGATAAATTCGATTGCCTGCAAGATTTCCTCTTATTTACCTCACTGTGCTAACAAAGATAATGCATTTACTCAAAGAGTTCAGTAATTTACAGTAATGTATCAACCAGTAAACGCACGCTTACCTTAATGATTTAAAGCCATTTATAGTATTTTGTCAACAAAAAAAAATGTTTCTCCAAATTTTTAAGTCGTTTACAGTACTATCTCCACGATGATACATACACTTTTTTCTATGATTTAAAAACGCTTTTACTAGTGTACCAACACATATACATACACTTAACCTTATGATTTCAAATCGTTTTTTCTAGTGTAGCAACACACATACATACATTTAACCCTATGATTTCAAATCGTTTATTCTAGTGTACCAACACATATACATACACTTAACCTTATGATTTCAAATCGTTTATTCCAGTGTACCAACACATAAACATAAACTTAACCTTATGATTTCAAATCGTTTATTCTAGTGTACCAACACACATACATACACTTAACCCTATGATTTCAAATCGTTTATTCTAGTGTACCAACACATATACATACACTTAACCTTATGATTTCAAATCCTTTATTCTAGTGTACCAACACATATACATACATTTAATCTTATGATTTCAAATCGTTTTTTCTAGTGTAGCAACACACATACATACATTTAACCCTATGATTTCAAATCGTTTATTCTAGTGTACCAACACATGTACATACACTTAACCTTATGATTTCAAATCGTTTATTCTAGTGTACTAACACATATACATTCACTTAATCTTAAAATTTCAAATCGTTTATTCCAGTGTACCAACACATATACATACACTTAACCTTATGATTTCAAATCGTTTATTCCAGTGTACCAACACATAAACATAAACTTAACCTTATGATTTCAAATCGTTTATTCTAGTGTACCAACACACATACATACACTTAACCTTATGATTTCAAATCGTTTATTCCAGTGTACCAACACATATACATACACTTAACCTTATGATTTCAAATCGTTTATTCCAGTGTACCAACACACATACATACACTTAACCTTATGATTTCAAATCGTTTATTCCAGTGTACCAGCACAGATATGCAGACGACACAGTTCTCCTAACAGTGTGCATGGCTTAGAATAATAAATTTACAAAAAAAAAGTTTGAAAAAGACCAAAATAATGTCTACAGTAAATACAGCATATCAAGCTTATATTCAAGTCGCTAATGGAGAAATCTAAAATGTCACAGATTGTGAATATCCAGGCTTGGTTGGGAATAACAATAGTGAATGTACAGCAGACAGAAGAAGACTTTCTTTAGCAATGGAGAGATTAAACAACACTGAAGAGGCATTGTGAGGAAAATTAGAATAGAACCACTGTCACCCCAGTAAGCATGTTGTAAGAGTCGACTATCTGGGGATTCCTTCAAAGTCTAAGTGCATATGCCTGATAGACAAGGGACCAACAGTCTGTATTCAAATAAGTCAGATATGTAAAACTGATATGGACACACCACTCAGGATCTGGAACAACACTAAAGTTCAGAAGTGGATGAACAACCAGAACTTTCCTCTGGAGTTTACAGTCGGTTAATACGACAAAGAAGAAGACTGCAGAGCCCATGTTTTAGTACCTGCAAACGAGTTGAACTGTAAACTTTGCGGTGACATATCTTTCCCTTGGCAAGTTATGGATGTGAATCACGGACTCTCACTTTGCAATTAAAATTTTACATATTTTTAGAATACCATGGACCATGTACTTCCATGACTTAAAGACGATTATAGTACCTTAATATTGGTTTAACACATTTACTTCCATGATTTAAAGACGATTACAGTAACATAATAATGGTTTAATACATTCACTTCCTTGACTTAAAGACGTTTTTATAGCAATGTATCAACGGTTTAAAACATTTACTTCCATGACCTAAAGACGATTATAGTAATGTATCAACGGTTAAACTCATTCACTTCTGTTATTTAAAGACGTTTATAATAATGTATAAACGGTTGAACACATTTACTTTCATGACTTGAAGACGATTATAGTAATGTATCAACGGTTTAAAACATTCACTTCCATTACTTGAAGACGTTTATAGTAATGTATCAACGGTTTAACATATATAACACCATCCGGTAATTCTGTGCAGCGGGGAAGCAGCCCTGAGCTTCATGAACTCAGGTGGGCCCACCTCCGAATACGTTTAGGAATCGTGGGCCGAAACGTGTGTCGAAAGAGGATAATTTCTACTGATGACTGTAGATCCCCGCTGTACTTGCTCCCTGTGAGTTTATTCTTATCTTATCTTATTTACTGCCATGTCTTGAAGACGTTTATAGTAATGTATCAACGGTTTAACACATTTACTTTCATGACTTTAAGACGATTATAGTAATGTATCAACGGTTTAAAACATTCACTTCCATTACTTGAAGACGTTTATAGTAATGTATCAACGGTTTAACATATTTACTGCCATGACATGAAGACGTTTATAGTAATATATCAACGGTTAAACACATTTATTTCCATGATTTAAAGACGTTTATAGTAATGGTTAAAAGGTTAAATAAATTTACTTCCAACATTTAAAAACGCTTATAGTAATGTATCAACAGTTAAACACATTTTTCCCCATGATTTAAAGACGTTTAGAGTAATGTATCAACAGTTAAACACATTTTTTTCTATGATTTAAAGACGTTTATAGTAATGGTTAACAGGTTTAACACATTTACTTCCATGATTTAATGACGTTTATAGTAATGTATTAAAGGTTAAACACATTTTCTCCAATGACCTTAAGACGTTTATAATAATTGCATTAACGTTTTAACACATTTACTTCCATGACTTAAAGACGTTCATAGTAATGTATCAACGGTTAAACACATATACTTGTACAATTAAAATTCATTATTAGTAATGCATAAATGGTTTGACATATTTACTTCTATGACTTTAGAACGTTAATAGTAATGTATTAAGGGTTTAATACATTTACTTCCATGATTTAAAAATCGTTTATACTAATGTAACAACAATGATACACACATTCATGAGAGAAAAGTTGCAAATCCAAAAGACACAACAGGAACCCGGTTGTTTCCTGCCTTGTCTTTATGTCATATTCAAATATTTAGAATGGCACGTTCCTCAAGTTACTGGCCGTTTTCCTCTTTGGAGACCTGAACGCTGTAAGTGATATGTCACTTTATAATTCGTAGAGTTAAATTAACACATGAAGGGTATTTATTTGATTTTGTTTTAAAATCAGTTTTTCCACCTCAGTTTTTCCAGTCAAAAATGTCATACGGTGTCTGGTATATCTGTATACCATATGAAGTTGCACGTAGTTAATTGTAGAGCAACAAAAAATATCAGATTTGCTCTCAGTAAGCATGTCTATACTGCACAACTTAACAATATATATACGAGTACAGTAGAGCAGACGCTAAAAAGCCAGGCCTGATTGTGAAATGTCCGTGTTAAAATTAAACTAAGCGAGTGACGATGTTTAAAAGTGAGTCTGCTCATCTTGTAAAGTCTCGGTTGATTCATTCGTTAGAGAATGTCGTTTTACGGGTGGCGATTCTTCTGAACTTAGTTTTCTTTTCTGCTCTGGAAAGGAAGAGAAATCGCGAGAGCTCAAGCTCTCAGTTCCTTCTTTTTGTGTTTTGTCTCGCTTTAGGCCGTTGATGTTCGGATGCCATCCATTTGTGGTGTGTAGTTGGTGTGGGTGTGGATGAAAGCCATTGCCGGATTTGCTCACTGTAGTTCTTGCAGTACTGCTTCCAAGAAATCCACTAGTATTACTGGAACTAGCACGACGGTTGTCGCCCTTGGACGTTGAATCCGTGTACACTGATTTGATAGGTCCTCGTTTCCGCTTTAGGGTTCCCATATACAAGAGCTGCATCCATGCCATTTTAGCTTCTGGGTTAAACAGACACCGGAAAACAAAAATGAGAAATCCTTGAAGCGAGTTACAGATGCAGAAGAGATAGCTGAACGCAGTCTGTGCCTCGTTGATGGCTAGGGGTCCGAACACCCAGGTGATCCCTAACAAGAACATAACGGTGAAGGCTCCTCGGATCTGTGCAGGGGTGATGGATGTCGTGTTGTTCAATAGCTGTTGCTGTAAATTAAAAAAAAACAGTGCTTCTCTGACATAATCATTATGAATATGTATTGCCAAATGTCTTGTCTTTTCCAATAAGTCTAATTAGATTTAATAAAATTTAACACATCCTGTTATCCCTGCCAGCCTGAATATTTTTGGTTCGAATTCTCACCTAGGCCTTTTGTATAGTCGTCCCCATGTGGAATGCAATTTTCATTATTGGAAGCCCCACTCTGGCTTTGGCCGGGGGCCCTGAATATTGCCGGGCCATAAATATGGCCTAAGGGTTGAAAGGGGTTTCTCGGACCTCTCCACGGGAGTTCCTCATCCGCATTGTAGCACTTTGTGTCACCGTGTGTTTATCGCTCTGTGTGATGTTCTAGTGGGGTTACAACAAGAGAGAGAGAGAGAGAGAGAGAGAGAGAGAGAGAGAAAGAGAGAGAGAGAGAGAGAGGGAGAAAGAGAGAGAGAGAGAGAGAGGACTTTTTCTTCTTCTTTTTTTTTTCTGAGAACTGTCCTTAGCTCTCAGGTCGACCCAGGCTTAAAGGAATACAAGAAAATGTCCTAGCAAGCTGAGTGTTGAACTAAGAACCAGACCTCACATCACTGGAGAAATCCGTATCAGTGATCCGTCCTTATCCTCAGCAACATGTGAAGAGTTTCAGTTCTGATTGTGATAGTAGCAGTTTGATTATTTATCCGTCTTATTTTCCCTTTGATTAAAGTAAAGGCAGCCGGTATGATGATGACCACATAGGTGTTGATTGGTCCTTAAATATATGATACAGTATCACATGCCCCAAGTGCCACTGGTGTTGAAAAAAAAAAGAATGACCCTCTTTTGTTGTTGTTGTTAAAACGTTGTTTAAAAAAATGATATTGGCTCCCAGGTCGACCTAGCCTTGAATGTGTACCTGGTGCAGTCCTGGGAAATAAATACGGCCGGCGTTAAGCTGACCACATCCTCCACCAAGTGCCGACTTTTCTACAAACCATAGGTTTAACCTCTTAAGCATTATTTGCCTGAAGGCGTTAAAAAAAGGTATTTTACCAGACAATAATGCTATATAATTTAGCAAACAGCAGTGTGTGTGTGTGTGTGTTTGTGTGTGTGTGTGTGTGTTTGAAAACCAACAACAGTAAAGTTGTCAACACGAAATAGATTAAAGAAGAATACTATGTTTACTTAAACAAAATGTGGGTCCAGCCCTACATGCCTAACATGCCTAAAGATGTGAAAAAGGGCCCTTTACCGGACAATAGTGCTTTAGAATCTGATAATAGACATCAGTGTGTGTATGTGTTGGACACGGCCAGCTCCAGATATAAGGCCGAAGTACAGCTCAAACGGGAAATCCCGTTTTTGTGAGGCTAGCCTGGCCAGTTGGTGCTAACAGTTGTTATCGAGTAGATTTATACACAAATTGAACTACAGTTTTTTTAATTTGCAACATGTGTTATTGAACGAATTATTATTTTGATGACAAATAAATAGGCTGTTAGGAAATATGTATCTTTAAAATGATAATCCATTCAATAACATATGTTGCAATTTAAAAGAAATATAGTTCAATTTGTATATACATTTAGATAACAATTGCTACCACCGTCCGGCCACGCCAGTCTCACAGAAACGGAAATTTGCGTTTGAACTGTACGACCTTATATCTGGAGTTGGCTGTGGTGTTGGAAAACCAAGGACATTGAAACTCATCAATATGAAATCGCTTCAAGAAGAACACTGTGTTAACATGAACAAAATTTAGCTTCTAGCAGGCATGTATTATTATTATTATTATTATTATTATTATTATTATTGACCCCTGTTAGAATTAACTGTTTTAACGATTTCAGGACCCTTGGAATTCATGTTAACGAAGTCTGACTGTACATTATTGTGAATGTACCTGGAAATTGGGTTTCAGGATCACTCTCGCCACCATTATGAAAACAAAAATGTTGACCAGGAGGATTGCACAAGAAGGAGCAACAAGCGACGTGTAGTAGGCAACCGTGCTCTTGCTTGTTAGAAAACAGCTGCAACAAGAAATACAATAATCAGTAATGACACCATTCAAGATTATCTGAACTTGAACGGATGTCAAAAAATAACTAAATACAAAACAAACAAGGACTAAAGTCTAAATAGCAGAGCAGGAACTTTCACAGATACAGCATGCCTAATGTTTCGACCAATGTCTTCATCAACGAGGGGGGGGGGGAGACATGGTAATTTACAAATAACAATGAATTTCTGGAACTTCCCTGTAAGCTGGCTGGGTGTTTGTTTGTAGTTTTGTTCATTGACAAGAAGACTGGTAGAAACTTTTGGTTGTGACTGTACGTCCCCCCCCCCCCCCCCCCCCCCCCCCCCCCCACCCCCCCACCCCCCCCCCCCCCCCTCTTCCAACTCCCCTCCCTCACTTTCCCTTCTGTTGTGATGCTGAATATAGGATTATAGGATTAATGTAAGGGGTTCGATTGGTTGGTAGAAATGGGAAAATCCTTAAGTCGGAAAACATGAAGTCGACGCGTGAATGGCAAAACACGAGATTGTGTGAGTGGACGAGAACACGAGACAACTGGGAGAAAAGCTGACCAGCGAGTCGTTCCGTGACAGGACCTCCTCCCCCCCCCCCCCCCCCCCCAAATAAACGAAGTAGAAGCGGACCCAGAACGAGAAGGAGTGAAAGCAGACCCAGAACGAGAAGGAGTGAAAGCACACCCAGAGCTAGGAAGAGTAAATGCTTGGGTTAGTCGGCATCAACGTCATGTTAAAGTACAACTGCAATATTCAATAAAACATTAATATGTTGTGTTTTGTTAACATGAGAGAAAGACACTGCTACATTTCCTCTACACACATATTCAAAATCAATGCAGAAAGTGTAATAATAATAATAATAAAAATAATAATAATAATATAAAGATTACAGGGAATGAGAAGAAGTAAAAAGATGAAAAGAGAAACTGATAATGATTATGATGATGCTGAAGAGGCAATGACAAATCTAAAGTGGGTACTTACAAATTTCTTTTATCCTTCTCATCATAATAACTTCCACTGGATACACCTGCCGTGATAGCCACGATGATAACTGGGATTCCTGTAAATAGTTACCAAATTTATTTGTGGATCTATTGCCACAGATAGTTACGTTTCCCTCTTGTTGATGTTTGATGTTGTTGTTGTTGTTGTTGTTGTTGTTGTTGTTGTTGTTGTTGTTGTTGTTGTTGTTGTTGTTGTTGTTGTTGTTGTTGTTGTTGTTCTTCTTCTTCTTCTTCTTCTTCTCCTTCTTCTTCTTCTTCTTCTTCTTCTTCTTCTTCTTCTTCTTCTTCTTCTTCTTCTTCTTCTTCTTCTTCTTCTTCTTCTTCTTCTTCTTCTTCTTCTTCTTCTTCTTCTTCTTCTTCTTCTTCTTCTTCTTCTTCTTCTTCTTCTTATTTACAACCATTTCTTCTTCTTTTTTTGTCTTCTTTCTTCTCATCTTCACTAGTCTCAAATCGGACAGTTTTTGTTTGGTCCACTTATTATATGTGGTCAAGCCATCATTTGTGTGTGTTTGCCTCTCATTCTGCCAAGCGTGTTAGCAGTCACTACACACTGTCATTGTTTTCCTCCTCTGACATGCTCAGAAACTTGACCATCTATGGCTAAGTATCTAATCAAGTGTTTCCTTTTTGGTGATCTTTTATTTGAATGGTCTGGGATATCAATTACAAAGGAAAAACCCAACATCAGTGTGCATTCCTTTTTGACATTATATTGGTTATAAATTGCAATAAGTTCTTTTATATGACAACTGAAAAGTGTGATCCGTAGGAGACATTCAAAAGCAGAAAGGATCCGTAGATATTAGTTAACTGAGAGCCACTGCGAATCAGTTTAGGGGTTTTAACAGTTTTCCTAAAGGACGGTATTAATTTGTTTTTGACCTCCGTCTATGGTTTACTTTTAATGTTTTGCTTAAAGCAAATGTTTCTCACTCAGTTTGTTCGCTCATTTAAAAGTAATCACTATTTCACCAGGTCGGAAATTAGTCTTACATTTAATTTAAGACCAACAGATAAAACATTTCGGTCATCTGACGAGAATACCTTAGTACCAGCTGCCACAGAAAGCCACACTGAAGAAATATAATGCATACAGCTAAAGGGAAGACCGAACAAAACATGGAACAAAGGCATTAAAGAAATGTAGATCAACCAAAGCAATGCATTATACAGTGTTTAATACTGCAGGCTATGGGTAATGGGAGTCTTACTATATATTCATGGGGGGGGGGGGGGGGTGGCGCAGTACCACCTGGAAACAAAGTCACTGCTTTAAGAGTCATTAGACAGAGTAAGTAAAAGGTCAGTTATAATTTTTCAACATTTCCGTAAGGTAATTGGAGCAGGAGAAGAAGAGCAGGAAGACTATCTGGGGGGAAAAATGCGATGATCAAGACAACTGATTGACTGTTGCTGCACTTCCTAGTGACGAGCTGCTTTATGTTAAGACGGATATTGAATAAGTTGCCCAGGATCAGTTGTATACAGCAGAGTTTTATAAATGGAATCAGCGGAAAGTGAACAGACGGTCAGAACGACATCACGCAGCTGAAAGGACATCAGCTTCCCATTTACGTCACACAGAGCTCACATACTATTCCGTTCTGTTATGTGCTCGATTTGGGATATCAAGGATGAAATTCAGTTCAAAGTCTTCGACCTTTTTCATCAAAATTCGTCTTTGGGTTTCTTTCTGACGTCCTCATTTCCTCAATCCATTGTTTGCGCAAAAAAAAAAAAAAAAAAAAACAGGAAAGTGGAGGTGGGAGGAGGGATAACAGGGTAGATCGGCGCATTTTCTAGTCAATTTGCACTGGACAAATAGTATAAGGAATAATCGTTGGCTACTTAGGAAGGAACCGAGCTCTTATTTTTAAAATCCATGCCATGTTGCATTGGTAGTTATGTCTATACACAGCCTTATGTTTTATTTATTTCAATAAACTCTGGCCAGCAATGATGTCAAACTATCCAATATCTTTTCTCTTGGTTTTCCGTTGTCTCTCCTCTCCTGTAACTTTCATACTGCCACGATGTACTCCTGTTTCATCCTTCTCAGTTTTCTCCTTCTCATCACATGTCCAAAAAATGTAGATTGTCTCCTTCTGATGTGGGTAATCAGTTCTCTTCGTGAGTCGTGAGTCAGTTTCTTTCTAGACATCTTCATTACTCTTTTTAATCTGTCCAGGATATTCTCATTATTCGTCAACAATAACATACACCTCTGCAGCTTCCAAATAATTTTTCAACAATCTACCAGTTGTCCATGATTCCTTTATGTATATGAGGAGGGGCTTAATGTATCTTTTAAGACTGGTAGAGTTGTGAGGGAGGGGGCGGGAATGAGTGGTCTCGTGCTGGAGGTCTCGGGTTCAGGTCCCGGTGAAGGCTGTGATGTTTTCAAGTGGATTTCTAGTAATTTCCTCTGGTCTCTTGGTAGTAAGATCGGACGCCCGTGTGTATTCCTGCGTAGGCAAAAATCCCTTGGCTGTTGGAAATTGAAAGGAGTAGCCTAATGGGTATGCCCCGTCACAAATTTGGAGTTAAAAAAAGTATTTCAGGATCCTTGCCGGTGCTACGGAGTTCGTGCACTGCGCTGAGACTTGTGCTCATGCTTGAGTTAGAAGAAGAACGGAGAACTTATGAGTTACTAATCTTGTGCCTCAATCTAGATCCATTTTTAAAACCTTAAACCTTCGATCTTTTAGGAATGTTCTTTCTTGTCTTAATCGACAAAGAAAGAATGAATTGAATAAAAGACACATACAGACAAGCAATAAAGAAAACTCACCCCATGACTGACTGACTGACTTTCTACCCCACCAGGACATCACACAAGCGATAAACACCCGATGACACAAAGTGCCACCATGTGGATGAGGATCACCGTGGAGAGGTCCCAGAAACCGCGTTCAGAAAATTGGCCATGTTTATAGCCTGCCTATATTGCGGCCCCTGGAAAAACCAGGGTGGGGCTTCAAAGAACAAAAAATGTTGCCCTAAAAAGGACGCAAAAATAGCTATAAACTCACCCCATGCCAAAAGGCATCTTTTGACGAGATAGAGCCTCTCATACTTGCTAAACACAGTCACCAGGGCCTGGTACATCTCCACGGCTTCTGCCAACATCCACATCAGAGAAGCCAAGACGAAGTAGTGTAGCAACATCCCTACAGTCAAACAGGCCTCCTCGCTGCAGATACATAATTAGGTTACTTGTACCTGATGAGAAAGCGCGGCTGGACAAGTGGTCGAACGCTGGGCTCTCGTGTAAGATACAAAATAAAGTACCCTTTTCCACTCCTTTGCACGTATCGATATATAGTGCCACACCTATATTTTTAGACCAATCGGCACCAGGCGGGCGACGTGGTCAACATCACGCTGACCGCCTTTACTTTCCAGGACTTTACCTGATGTCCATTTAAAGCTAGGTCAACTTGGGAGCCAATGTAGTTGATTAAAACAATTCGACTCAATGTACATTTGAAACCACGACTTTCGGGCCCACAGTGGAGCATCTGGTTACTGTAGTACGGCAGCTTAGGTAGGATACTGAGAACAAAATATCATTAAGATGACAGATCCTTTGTTTTTTCGTCTTTTCTTCGGGGGCAGACGTAAACATTCTAGCCTGCATTGTTCGGGGCACAAGCCCTCCAACAACCCCCCCCCCCCCCCCCCCCACCTACCTCGCCAGCATCTAGTTTTCTAACTACTGAGTTCTGGGAGTTTACTAGGCAATTTTACGTCCAGCAGTTTACCTTCCTGCCTGCACCGACCTAAAAGTAGTTCACCCCACCCCTTTTTTCCCCAGGAAATAAAATTGTTAGTCATATATATAAAAGTTGTCCCCTTGTCGGATGTAATTTTTTTGTCATTTAAAGCTCCACCCTGGCTTCTGCCAGGAGTCTTGAACATAGCCGGGGCATAGATATGGCCTAGCCATAGATATGGCCTAACTGCTGGAAGGGGTTTCTGGGACCTCTTCTTGGGTGATCCTCATCCGCATGGTGGCAATTTGTGTAACCAGGTGTTTATCGCTTGTGTGATGTCCTGGTGGGGTACAACCACCTTCCAACCTACCTCCCCCCACCCCCCCCCCGACCCAGCTACCTTGAGGAAGTATTAACAAAAGCGGAAAAAAAGGGGGGGGGGGGGGGTTAGGGGAGAAAAAAACATCCTCTGTGTGTTCTTTCTAATACGTTGTATTAGTTGCCCTTTATTCTTTAAAGCTGTCCTTGATGCTGTCGTTCTATTTCTGCGTGTTCGTTTCCTGCTCTCCGTAATAAATGAAGGGTAAAGATAAAATATTACCATCATAGCAATCACCATCATCGTTGTTATCAACATGAATCTTAACCATACCATCAACATGAGTTAAAAAAAAAACAACAATCAAAATCGATATCTATTTCAACATCATTATCAACGTCTTGTTCCATGTCCAGCAAGCAAGCGTGTCCCCAGACATAGAAATGCACTCCAGGTAAGGTCGAACTCTGGTGGTCTTCACTGCCACACTGCCTAACAATTTAGCAATTTAACTTCTGCTTCTGTCACCTTCCACAACTCCCAAGATGTTACAATGTTTTCCATACCTTTTTCGCCTGATAAAGCTACCAAAAACTATGACTGATTTGGCCATGAAATGGGTGAATCGATCCTGCCAATACCAGAGGACCATGATATTGCATTTGAATTAAATCATCAACTTGCTGTTTTGATGTGAGAAATCTAATTGTTGAAACGTTTCTGTTTCTGTTCTTATTTCCAAGAAATATAAAAATTGAAAGCCCTACTGGCTTCTTACAAAAAGAATGAGCTCTATGTTAAAATTAAGTGCCGGAGTCTTAATCAGCATTATGTGGCAAAGGGGCTACAATTTTTGCTTCATGCTGGTAAGGTTGTGAGTTCGATTTATGCTTTGTTTACAAAGTGCGCCTATTTCAGAGATCAGTGGGAGTTGTTGCTTGAACTACGGAGATGGTGGTTGAGTACATTACTCTCGCGGATGACCAGCCACTCTACCGAGAGAATCTGTACCATATGAGGTAAAACCTGGCACGATAAAGTGTACTCACTGACATTTAAACACTCTTTTACCAACATCAAGTCATACTCTGTAACGATAACATATGAACTTTTACCTGAAACGTGAAACATCCACTGTTGCAGCAAGAAAGGTCACATTTAGCAACAGCAGTGCCGTACATAACTGGAGCAGGATTTTACCAGATTTTTCATTGTTTAAACACCTGCCAAAATAACATTAAATTTGTAAACAATATTACATGCAGAGCTGAAGCATCTCACAACTAGGGTTGTTCACATACATGCTCGTATCCATTTTCAGCAGTCAGCGCAGTTTCTATAAAAAGTGGTCTTATTATACGTTCCTTTGCGTTTCCTCTGTGGACTGAGTGTCGGCCAGATCATCATCATCATCATCATCATTATCATCATCATCATCACCTTCTTGTTCTTGTTCTTGTTCTTGTTCTTGTTCTTGTTCTTCTTCTTCTTCTTCTTCTTCTTCTTCTTCTTCTTCTTCTTCTTCTTCTTCTTCTTCTTCTTCTTCTTCTTCTTCTTCTTCTTCTGTCCTTTATCACCCAGGAAAAATAGACCCTCAACCAACTCACGCCAGATTGTCATATCCTTTGCTATCAAATGCAGTTAACCCTTATTCTCCACATCTTTTTTTAACTTAACTCTTAATTCCCTTCGTCGTTTTTGTGTGTGTTTGCTTTTAATAATTTCATCATGTGGGTTCCAGTGCGAAAACATTCTAGTTAGATTGCTGTCAGGTTTTCTTAACTTGTCTCCAATGAAAAGCTAGCGTTTCGTTTTGTTTCTGGACAGATAATTTTGTGTAATTCTTTCTAGACCGAGGTGATCTGTTAGTTTATCGGTGTTTTTCATGTGATCTCAAAGCACCTTTACCACACTGTATTTTCTGGTGAAAAAAAAAATCTTCCTGATCTTTTTCTGATCGTTCATACCCTGTGACGCTAGTAGTCAGGTCTATTCACAACCTGCTGTCTCGTACATTTCGAATGAGTTCCAACACAGACGATCTTCCATGTCATAACATCAAACTTTTCAGCATCTTCTCTCTCCGCCCCCCTCTGCCTCTTTTTCCCTCCTCCTTCTGACGTGTGCAGTGAGTTCTCTCCTGGACTCAGTGTCTTTCCCATACATCTTTATTACTCTGCATATCTGTGAATGTGATTCTCATCATTTGTCTATAAAACCAGATCACATCTTTCAAGCAATTTTTCACTAATCGCCCAACTGTCCACGATTAATGCCTGTATATCAGAATAGGAGCTGCATCGCTCTTGAGAATTCCCTGTCTCGTCTCAGTTGACAAAGAAAGGTTGCATAGAATATAGTACCCGAATGGTACACAGATATATAATATGATTTATCGCATACTCATCATAAACACAACTGAGTTAAGTAAGAAGAAAATATAAAGGGCCAGCTTCACGTCCTTGGCAAAACGGACACATGTTGGGACCTATATCTTTGTAGATGCATCGGCTCTAGATGAGTAATGTACTCAGAATCACACCGACAGCCATTACACCCCATTACATATCTTCGTACCACATTAGGCTGGGCTGATTTGGAAGGCTCAGATTAGTATACAAATCTGCGTCAATAGGCACTTGACCCCCAAAAACCTTAGCCTGACATCTAGCCGTTGTGCTAGCATTCCTCTTGTAGCCTATAGAAGCTCCCTAAATATTTATATCAGAGGTCTGGGGTCTGGGGTCTGAACAACAGATCAACATTATGGCACACAGGTAGTAACCCATAAGTGTTCCGTTCTTGTTCTTACTCAAATCTGAGTCCGAAGAAGCTCAGCACAGTGCACAGGCTCTTTAGCACCGGTGAGGATCCTGAAATACTTTTGGGTAGATTTTAACTCCAAATTTTGCCCGGGCACCGCCACTAGGCTACTCTTTTTGATTTCCAACTGTCAAGGGATTTTTTTTTACATGCGCTACAATGCGCACGGGCGTCCGATATCACTACCCAGAGACCAGGGGGAATTACTAGAAGTCCAAGTCCACGTGAAAAATCCTAGCTCTTACCGGGGATTGAACCCGGAACCTCTAGCACTCGAGGCGGATACCTTGCCTCGAAACCACGCAGCTCCCATATTGTATATCATTAACTGTCAAATGTGGAAACGCCATTTATAGTGGAATAGGTCATGACAGTATTGTATATTACTAACAAATTGAAGTATTGAGAAAAACTTAAAACCTAAAATTCTTTCAGTTAATAAAATCTCACTTGAACATGGCATAAGTGATGATAGTAAACAAGAGACAGCTGGTGGAGATGGCACAGCCGATGTAAGTTAGATAGGTCAAAATCAGCTCATGCTTCTGGGATATTGTCTGTTCTTCATTGACATTCTGGAAAAGAAACACGATAAAAGATGTCACGGTTTGCAATCTGGATCACTAAAGCATTTGCATTGGTTAATTTTACGTTTTGTATTTTGCCATTCAATCTACGGAAAATACAGATGGGTAGAAGATGTCGAAGCCGACCTCTACTACGACATAAAGATGTGTGAAAGCGGTACATGAATGATATAGGTATTGAGGCGGACTCATAGGAACATAATGCCATGGACCGTGTTGTCTAAAGGGGGCACATAAGGAAGGTAATAAGAATGAAGGAATACAGGACTGCAGAAAGGATGGGAGCTGAGCGTCTGAGAAAAAAACTCACTAAACACAAATGATTACAACAAAGGTCCTGAAATCCCATCCTTTAATTGTGGAAAATATTTATGAACGCGGGGGGAGGGGGAAAAGGGGGGGGGGGTAGTCTTGCTAGTCACACTCGCCATCGCCCGCTGTGAGTTCCATGCCTCCTCATAGCACAATATAATACTATCGTCCGGAAAAACTGAGAGGTTCCAAAAACAACATTTTGCCAGTTTTCTGCAGCAGACTGGACTGCTACCAAATCGCCTGTCGCTGATTTGAACGGGAAATTTCTGAATTATAAACCGCATTCATAACCCTTGGGTCATAGACGTTGACCAGTTCTCGGTAGTGGCAGGATTAATATTTTTTCCACCAGTGACGTAAGACGTTGGTGTTCGTGTGTGTCCAAGATATCTTGGCAAGCGTTTGGTCAAGTTTTATTGTTTCTCTTCAGAGGTAAGTTTATGCAAGGGCCCTGTGGCCAGCTATACATCTCTCTGTTTCGCCCCTCCATCCCACAACACCCAGAATACCAGAATGTCTACTTCATTTCGTGTAAATTCCAAGGTGTTTACATGCTTATTACATCTCCGAAGAATGTCTTTCTTCAATTCTATAAAAAAAGAAGTTTCAATTTCTAACAATGGGCTGTTCAAAAGATACCAGCCACTGCAAAATATTGGCAGCGACAAAACATATCACCTTGCAAAACTAGGTGGCTCTTATGCCTACATATTTTGAACGAAAAAACTTACCGTATATAAAACTACTTACAAAACAAAATAAACAGTAGACCGCCCTAATGATACTGAATCAGATGCTTATTATCAACGAACATAGCAAGATAAAGTTAAAATTTTAATGAGTGTAACACAACACTGTGAAGTATCGTCTATATCAAACTGTTTGAAGATAAATGTGCCAGATTAGGGTTCTAATGGACTCACACAGCACAGTGAGCAATGTCAAGGGAGCAAGCCGGGTGCTGGGTTGTATGTTTCGCTCTGGAATGGCGTGCTTCATTAGGATCTTATTTCTAGAGCATACCAGTGAGAGATGAACAAGCAGATTAGCTAGTTTTGCACCAATTAGTGGTGAACTGATGCAGGTAGATGGTCTGAAGAAACTTTTAGCTTATGAAGGAAGAAAGAAAGAAAGAAAGAGAGAGAGTAAGAAAGAGAGATACAGAAAGAAAGAAAGAAAAGAGAGAGAGAGAGAGAGAGAGAGAGAGAGAGAGAGAGAGAGAGAGAAAGAGAAAGAGAGACAGACAGAGAGAAAGAGAGTTCGCAGATTAACACGCTAAGAAAAGAATGATGCAATTGGAAATGAATGAGAATCTGGTAGACTCAGTGATGACAGGAAAGGCTAGACAGACAGATTACAAATATTACAAATAATTCCGAAACTCTGTATTTGCTGCTGAAGATTTAGACGGTTTAGACTATGAACTATGTAACTAAATCACGCCATAATCAGGCCGCCTCTCAACCCCATTACTAAACAACTTACCAACAGAATAGCGAAACTGGTCAGGTGACTGGACGTGCATGTAATGCCTTCACTGTCGTGGTTTCGCATGGTTAGACCTGCACTTGACCACATTGAAGCTAAACAAAAAATATTTCAAATTCATTTGATATGTTTTAACTGTCACTTTTACTTTCAGCCTCATGTTTTTGTTGGTACCTGGTCGTTTTTGCAGACGATAGATGTCTTAAGCACTTCATTATGCATTAGCCTGTGATAGGATTATTCAACAATACGGTAGAAAGAAGAACTCTACGGGGGGATCATGTACAGCAGGGGTCCACCGATCATCAGTAGAACGATCCCTTGTCGACGATTGTTTCGGTCCATTACTTCATATACATTCTCGGAAGGTGGGCCGACCCGGTTCATGAAGCCAATCCTCGATCTTCCCCTGCTGCGCCTTATCGGACTCTCGGACAGGGACAAGACGATATGGTGACTTTGCAACACATATTGTGAGAATTGGTATTATATAGTCCCTGCGGTAGCAAATTAGCCGACTTCCTTCACGACCAGAGTGACAAGCTTACGGTTGCTTCATCAGACAGGTGTTGGACTTTGGCATTTGAGAGAGGGACACTGGCGGACATTTAACGAACCCTTTGGCTTTATAGGGATGACCATTTTATGTCCACCCAGGGGTAAAAAAAAAAAATGTGATCATCACAGGTCTGTGGCGCGAGGCCCAGCATAAAAAGATCACTAATACAATACCATTTGCCAAAGATAGCGGGTCACTTGCTGGGCCTCTACGGGATATCAGCAGAATAGCTTTGACCTATGGTGATACAAATTAGGGCCAGAGAGATAATCATTCTCTCCGTGGTACAAAGACTATAGAATTGCAGTGAACATGTGTTGACCATAAGCATGGTCCCTTGTTTAGCCTGGTTTATTACCTCCTGAGTAATCGTAACACCAATACATTCGGAACAAAGCATGCCGTAGAAGTTGCCATATTAGAAGATCTGTGCTTTGTCTGTCTGTCTGTCTGCCGGGAGCTTTTTTTGTTGTTGCTATTCTATAAAGCTTTGAGGTTGCACTTCCTCGTCCCCCGATACGGTTATTCTCCTCTCCAGTGTATTGCTCCACATGACTTTATGAGATATGTTGTAAATTTATGTCATTACATAAGCCGTCTGCGATAAACTGTAGTTTATATATCTAGGGTCTCTGTTTTTGTTGACAGTTAACATTTTATTGTGTCTAATTTGCTAATTATTCATAACACTTTTCTAAATATCCATCTAAAGCACCAAGAGATTGTAAACATGAAAATGGTATTATATCAATGCAAATTATCAAAAAGAAAGGGAATCTTCACATGATAGGAAATTTGTTTCTGTAGCTGTACTTTTGTCAGCTCAGTGGCTAAGTCAATGCGAAGGCTTCGTAATGCCGGGATGCCAGGTTCGATCCCAGCTGCGGGCCATGCGCCTTGCGTTGGTTTCGGCAGTGGTATCAAGAAAGCCAACCGTCCAGAAAGCAATGGCAAACTACTGGACGTAAATTTCCCTAGAAAACCACACAACAGCCAAAGAATACGCAACTAACAGCCGTAATTTTAATATAATTAAATCTTTAAATAATTAATGCTTGAGAGAACATAAAATTTAATTAAAAAAAAAAACAATTAAAAAATGAACTCAAAAAAAAAAAAAAAAAAAAAAGGAAATTAACAGTAATATGACACAGTGAAACTGTTTGGAAGTTTATTTTTTTTTTAAATATTATTATTTTATTCTATCTCTTATCAGTTCCAGTTATGGGTCATTAACATTTGCATTTCTACTACTCGTTTATTCCTACTATTGTTTTTATATTATCACTATTACTTTCATGACTCTTTTTGGAGACTTCCTTTAGTCAGTTTTTATTAAAAATACATTCCACATCACCTCTTGATAGTTTCTAACGCAACCCTCTGGTCTGTGCTGGTGGTTGGAGTACTCTCGCCTTTATTATGTTGTGTATTTAGTTCAAGTCGAGAAGGGCTGCGGATAAAAAGTCGATTTGTTGGTTGTGTGCACTTTGTTCTGCTTTCCCATTTGGTTAAACTTTTTATCAGCGTTCACTGAAATACTTTCTACACAATGATTACATTATGGCCCAATATCGAAGAAAGGCATTGCAGAATATTTAGTTTGGAAGTTATTGTTGCTTCTGACAGCGCTTTGCTAATGTAGTTTCCACATATGGACAGAAGTCTACGGTTTCTTTGCCGAAGCTACTGAGTCAATTGCTTGTTGCAACAGTGTGAGTTGCGTTTTTTATGTGGAATGCTTTTTAATTTGTACAGTGGTTGCGTTGTGGTATTCAATAAAACGGGCAGCCGGTTTACACGTGGGCTGGCGAAATAGTGTATGTAAAAATTTTGCTTGTCTATGGCTAACTTATCGTGACCAACTACTTCCATCACCAAACAACTGCATTTCTGGAGGCGACTGTTGGCTATGGCACCTCTAGCAAATGTCTTATATATTTACTGCGTGCGCAAAGTTTTGGATTGTACCGGGGCTAATTGATTGTTCACCCGTTTTTTGTATGGGACAGTGAGGGAAATTTAATTTGATTTTCCTTGGCACAGGAACGAAGCAAGTATGTGGTGACCCACTGCAGTGAAGTTCCAAACCTCGACTATGACTAGGATGACAATGCTTGATCATCTTTTCCAGAATGTCTTTAGTTTACGGCATTTTTTCACAGTGGAAAAGGATTATTTAAAGACTGAAGAAATAGAATCAAGCTTAATCTGACTGTGAGATTTGATACTGTGGCGGCTAAAGGCTTGCATGCGGGTCTGAAGGTCTAGGAACTCTTCCATTACTGCTGAAAATGGGGGCAGAGCCCTTATGGGAGTGTACTTGGCGCTGTGATGTCGATTCTTTATTTAATATTCAACATTCAATATCTGAAGGTCTAGGGTTTAAATGCGCGTCGACGTGTACATTTGTTTTTTAAATCGACTTTGGCCCACAGGTTGATCCAGCCTAACATCTCCGTTAAATATCCCCTAAGGTGAGTACCAGGTAATGTCTCGAGAAGTAAAAGCAGCAAGCTCGACGATGGTCACATGCTCCGTCGAGTGCTGAGTGTTCTATACAAGTGTAGGTCTAGCAATATATGCCAGATGGGACGGATGTGTGAAAATGGACTTCTACTTACATCATGATACTACAATACAAGACGCTTATAATTCCTACCGTCAGTATCCCAGAATACACACGTGTAGTTTCTGCCAACCTGGAAATAGACACAGGTTACATTTGTACGAAATATATCTTTAATAAGATGCAAAAATTGTAGACGGCTAGAGAGATAAATAAAACATTAAAAATGAGAATCGCCAAATGGTATGTTTACTCAACCTGGCTGTATTGTGCAGAAACTTGGACAATGAACAGACAAAGAGAAAATCAAACTGAGTATCAGGGCATGTGGATATACAGAAGAGTAGGTTGTATTTCATGGAAACAACAGCAATGAAGTACAGAGATTCTCGAAAGATTGCGAATGAAAAGAGAATTACTGAATTTAAAAAAAATTAAAGACAACTATAATATTTTGGCCACTAAAAAGAGATACTTCGCTTTAAAAAAACTCACTGAAGGGAAAGGTCGGGCAAAAGAGAGCAAGAGAGGTAGACAAGCTACAAGTGGGAGGACAAGATCGAGCAATGGGCGAACAACAGTCTGAGAGAGAGAGAGAGAGAGAGAGAGAGAGAGAGAGAGAGAGAGAGAGAGAGAGAGAGAGAGAGAGAGAGAGAGAAAGAGAGACAGAGAGAGAGTACAACTACGACAAGAAATAGAGCGTGTTAAAGATCCATTGCATCTAATTATTTTGTGGAGACGGCAACTGACTGATGATACGTGCATAGAAGAATAATATGTTTTATTAGACATTTCTTTTTAACTCCTTTAGTTCAAGACAGATGTTACGTTAACTTACTCTATTTGAAGCAATTGTTACTTTGAAGTAATCAATGTTTTTCTGCACAACTTACCCGTTACTTGGCATTCATAGTGTCATCCTAGTACATCGGTCAAACTCATTTGTCTTCCGTCCTCTGATTGAGTAGCCATTTCAGTGTCTCAAAGTTCAATGTACCCAGTAGTGGGACATGATTGCTCTATCTTCTTTCGTTGCCCGCAAGTGGTTTCTGCATGCGTGTCCTCTTTTAACACCCATTTATAACCGGCGGTTCATCGTCTTAACTGACTGATTTCAGTGTCTCTAGAACTGATAGAATTCAGTATGTCTGCCTGCCATACTTCATCCTCCATCAACCACTGCAGACACGCCCTTTAACTCTTTCAGTCCCAAACAACGCATAGTGTGTGGTTGGATAATCCCTGTGAGTCACAGCGAACAAATAAAGTGGTTTTTATTTACTTTTACATTTGGTCAAACCATGCTTCAGAAATCCGGCTACCCATATGGTTGCTCTGATGTATTTACTCTCTGTTTAGCATTCATAATGTTTGTCCCACATGGTGGATTTACTGTAAAGCCATCTGGTGTCGAAGGAGTAAATATTCCTTTACCCCGGCGTGTCCCGGTGTGTACATCTAAGATTATTTCTTGAGGCTATTAACTCATTCTAGTCGGAGTTTACCAGTCTGGATCTTCTTAAGCCCCGTGTCTTCTCCTGTCAATGCGCCAGTTTAGTTCTGTTTCCGGCAGCCGTGCTGCTGAACTTCTTTTTCTTCTTCACTTCCTCTTTTACCGCTGTGGTTGTCGAGGGAGATATAAGGTTCTGTTTCTAGCTCTTCTGGCTGCCTCGACCATAGGCACATCGTACTGTTGTAGAGTTTCTCTGATGTTATCCTTCCATCTTGTTCTTGGTCTACCCCGTGCTCTACGTCCTTCTTCTCTTCCCATGTATGCTTTGTTTGGTATGGTGTCACAAGGCATTCTCTCTAAGTGGGCAAACCATTTCACTTGCTGTCTTTGTATGTAATCCAGAATTGGTTCTGTGCCGACCTGTTCTCTTATGATCTCATTTCTGATCTTATCTCTTATGGTCACTCCTACAGCCCTTCTCAGACATCTCATTTCCGTGGTTACTAATTTTCTTTTATGGTTTGTTGTGAGTGACCATGTCTGGCACTGGTAGCACAGAGTTGGAATAAATATGCTTTGAATAAGATGTCTCTTTGTGCTGATTGGGATTGTCTTATGCTATAAGGGGGGGGGGGTGGGGGCTAGCTGTCCCAATACTTGGTTTGCTTTACTGCATCTAATGTCAATTTCTTTATCCAATTTCCCATCTTCGGTAAATGAACTGCTGCTGAACTAATTCAACTAATTCCTTTTATCACAAAAACACCTTTATAGACCAAGTGACACTCCGTGGGTGATGTGAAAAACAGCAGGCCGGTCACCTTTACTTCCCAGTGCATCACTTGGTATCCACATTAGGCTGGGTCAATACGGGAGCTAAGGTCAGTTTTGAAGAAAAAATATGTTTTGATGTGGATTTGAGCACATTACCTTCGGACCATAGGGTAATGCATAAATACATATAAGCGCTTGAATCCCATCTTCAATATATCCCTCAGTGTGTGGCGACTGATAATGCCAGTTCTGATATAGTCAAAAATAAAATCAAAGCAAGATTAATAAATATTATCAACAAAAGCAATACCGTTGTGTTAAATAAGTGAATCTCCACTGGGCGCGTCAGATTCCTGATCTCCCTGCCTTTGAGCGTGGCTGAAATCACTGGCTGGCTGTGTAGGAAACTAGACGCAGAAAAACCCTCAGCTGGGACGAACAGCTGGGACCGTTTGTATCCAACAAACTGCATTCTTGTGTCCGTTGATTCATTGGTCAAGTTTGCCAAGACTTCAGATGGTATCCTAATTTCCAGGTTGATCTGCAAAGCAATAAATATGTTGTTATTTGTATATTGTAGATATAAGATCAACTGCTTTAAAATGTGAGTTGTAGAACAACAGAGCTAACAGTAAGTATTCAAAAGCAACGGATTCCTTTCTATTCCTTCCAGCGTCTTGTGTATTTTTGGAAGCAAAGAACATACGATGAATGAGGTCAGTATTATCAATCGTAGAGAATAATTTCTGGTATCTATTGAAGCTAAATCGAAGCGGGAGCTCAACTCTCTCTGTCTCTTCCTCCTCCCCCCCCCCTCTCTCTCTCTACACATACATCCACACACACACATGCACACACACACACAAACACACACACATATTGTTGGTCTTTTTTTTCCAGACGATATTATTCCGTCATGCTATAGAGTTGTACTTGTATCACAATTCGTGGCAATGTAGAGTATGACCAACAAGACTAGCTTGGGTTAAGAACAATCTTCCATAACAAGTGCATGCGATTTCAAGGCCAACTTTGCCGTCATGTATTTGACATGTTTTTTTTTCTTCTCTCAGACGGTCATTTCTCAACCTTTCTGCAATCCCTTTCTCCGTAGTCCATATTCATTTCCCAATTTCCACCTCCCCACTCAATGCGACCATATCCCATGTATCATTCATGTCTGGCTTACACACATCTTGAAATCAAAGTAGAGACTGACCTCTTCTACAAATCTACTTAGTATTCACCATAGATGACGTCCTTGTTGATTCTTTCCCACGCCATCCTTGAAGTGTGCCCTTGTCATCTGAGGTTTACAAGACTGAGCATTAAGAAAATTGTTCTAATACCTGCTCCACGAATACATCAATTTACCCTCCTTGCAATAGATCCATGGCAACTTGTTCCTGTATATATATGTAATGATGTTCACCCAACACAAGAAATAACAATTGCTTTCAGCCTTTAAACCAGTGATCTCAAACATTTTTACACCTGCGGTCTACCAACACAGGGTGAATTGTTAGTCGGCCCACTTGACAGCAAACCAAACACAGAAACACAAACATGTTCAGACAGCACTTAAAGGTTAAATCCCATTTCACATAGTTACCGTCCTCAGCTGATGCGACATCATGATTAAGGTTCCAATTCTTGATTCTCATCATTTAAATTATCATTCTCGATTCTCATCCTTTAGGTTCTCATTCTTGATTCTCATTATTTATGTTCTCATTCTTGATTTTCATTATTTAGGTTCTCACTGTTAATTCGCATCATTTATATTCTCATTCTTGATTCTCATCATTTAGGTTCTCACTGTTAATTCACATCATTTAGGTTCTAATTTTTAATTCTCATTCTAGGTTGCAATCATGGAAGAGACAAACTACCCACCCTACCGCGTTACATGATTGGGCAAACATATTTAGCTGTACTTTCACGAGGTCTACCGGTTTAAGAACGATTCTATAAATAGAGTAGAATATGTGAGCATTGTCGGCTTTGTGGCTAAGCTGATTCGAACGCGTCGTAATGCCGGGATGCCGGTTTCGATCCCAGCTGTGGGCCATACGCCTTACGTATCAAGAAAGCAATGGCAAACTACGAGACGTAAATTTGCCTAGAAAAACCACACAACAGCCAGGAGCTGTTGGGGTTGGTTCTGCAACGTCCTGAAAAGGATACGCAACTAACCTATGTGAGCATTAGATGACGGTTCCGTCCATAAACCTACTTTGGATCTAAAGTAGGTTATGGTTCAGTCCCTTCTGATACGGAATGTTCTCACACATTATAGGCAAGAGATTTATGCATTTGGAAAACAGGTGGGAGAGAACTGGTGGGGAGGGGGTGGGGGGGGGGGGAGGGGGATCGAACCTAGCATCCCGCCACTACGAAGCACGTTCGGAACACCCAAACCACAGACGCTGACAAAGACCTTATACATATAAATATAGTTACCTCTGCAAGTGTGTTGTTGTCTGTGACATATGGCTGAAATAACACCGTGTCATTTCCTCCCTCCAGCAACTTTCGCACGGCTACAGCTTTGACGTGCAGCTCTGGTGATGTGATGTTAATCTGCCCACTAATGTCATCAAGTCTCACTTCTGATGTGTAGTTATCTAGAAATTCTCGCAACCTGGGTAGCGTTAAATGACAAAGCGTTTTATGAGTAGAATATTAATAATAACAACATCCAAATAATCTGTTACAAACTTAAAATCTGTCGTCCCCATTTGGAATGCAATTTTTTAGTTATTTTAAAGCCCCACCCTGGCTTTTGCCGGGGACCCTAAATATAGCCGGGCGATAAATATGGCCTACGGCTAAATGGCGTTTCTGAGACCTCTTTACGGGTGATCCTTATCCGCATGGTGGTACTTTCTGTCACCGGGTGTATATTCGCTTGTGTGATGTCCTGGTGGGGTGCAGCTTACCCATCTACCTATGTACAAACACTTTTTTTTTTTTCGCAGTCTAACCCCTGGTATAGTTCGCTGTATCTTGTTTGGCAATAAATTGTTCAATACATTATTTGTGTCCTCTTTATTTAAATTCCTAAAAAAGATATATCTTTTGTTTTCTTCAAATTTTGAAATGTTGATAATCTAAGGGTAGGCGACTATATGGCTAAATATTGTCGATAATAACATTTTGGGAGAAACGGTGATGTCATACAACATTACCTGTTGCTAGCATAAGTGAACAACATAATTATAATGAGTATCCCTTATCATACAATCAGTACTGTTGTAGGGAGCGGAAACGCGGAGAACAACTAGGGCGATTACTAATGAGCTAAAATATCCAATAACTGGTGCCTGCTCATAATAATGGGAATTAAATAGTATTGTAGAAACACTGATGTTAAGATTGGAGAAAGAACTAAACACATTCTAGTGGACAATGAAGTGAAGAAAAAACGCTGGCGTTGAATAGGACACACATTGAGAAAAGCTTGAGAACAAAATAACTGGACTGTTTTTTGCACTAGAACCCACCAGGCACAGAAAAACACGGGATGTCACACACACACACACACACACACACACACACACACACACACACACACACACACACACACACACACACACAAGGAGAAGGAAGCTAGAGAGTAAAGTTTCAAGATAGGGAGAACATGCGGAGAACTGCATGCGATAGCGAAGGATAGAACGACTTGGCGTGAGAAAGTTGAGGGCCTATGCTCCATTGGGAGATGAAGGCAGAAGAGGAAGAGAAGAAGAATCCCTTATCACAAACATCAGATCAGGCAATGAGGTAAACGCAGCCCCAACCTTTCAGCAAACAGATCACCCCTTAGTTGCTCTGCTCCCGTGCCAACGAAGACCACACACCATGGCCATCGCTGCCGCTTGTCAAATAACGGACATAAACTTCACACTAGGCAATGCCATTAGCATTCACTTCACGCATTAAATGCATAAGACAGCCCTCAGAACTATCAGCGCAAACAGACCGGCACTAAAGATTTAGCTCATCGTCGACTGAAGCAGCAGATACAACAGATCAGTAACTGTACACTTAACTGTACACGCATAAGGCACCGCCAGTTCTCTGGCAGTTAGCCACTTACCTTTTTTTTTGGGGGGGGGGGGGGGGGGGGTTAAAACCGGCAGTTCACAACAAATGCCACGTGGGGCACAGCTGAAATACATCCAAATTAAATCTGCAGCTCACAGTATCGTGCCATGCACTTAACTCAGTAGCGACGGAACTATTTTCTTTTAGTCCTATATAGGTCAAAATGCAACAGCTATTCATTATCAGAAGCAACAACTTACCACAACTAAAACAGTATGTCTGCTTATCGGTCACAGTGGACGGAAACATCAGACAGAGATACAATTTTTTTGGTTCTATTATAAGAAGAGAACAACTTAAATAGGTTAAAAAGGTCAATAGTTAAACCCGAGTTCATTTCATCGGGGTGCATCGGGACGCTCAGAGCGTCTCACAAAGCACGACCACAGCAGTTCAGATGACGAACCCCCAAGAGTCTCCATAAAATGCACTAGTGAGCCGAACGACACAGTCGTGAAACGAAAACACCACCCCCATAGCGCAAGGCAAAGGTCTTGACCACTTCACAAAGGAGACAATCAACTTAAATACCCGGAAAAAAAAATAACATGTTCTGCAAGAAGATAAAACTCAACAAGAAAAAATTCTTGACAGCCTTTTTTTCATGACATATGAAATAATGTGTGATTTTGTAAATGGTAAGATCTGGTGAGTCGGCTCTGTGGTAATGCCGAGATGCCGGGTTCGATCCCAACTGCGGGCCATGCGTCTTGCATTAGTTTCGACAGTGGTATAAAAAAAAAGCCGACTGTCCAGGAGCAATGGCAAACTACTGGACGTAAATTTTGCCGAAAAAGACCACACAACAGCCTGGGGCTGTTGGGGTTGGTTCTGCAACGTCCTGTAAGGGATACGCAACTAACCAAGATCTGGTGACACATGATCGCCCTAGTACAAGATTATGGTTATTATATGCGTTATAGGAAACAGCTAGGAAAATATCGTGGTTGAATAAAAGTTTCTCTTTACAATCCAAATTAAAATCTCAGGTAATGATTTAATACAGATTACCTTCAGTTGTCTATCTTACCCTTTCTGTTTTTTATTTGTCCGTACCTGGTATTTACTTTGTTAGTGCTCTCTGCGACTTCACAGACTGAGACGTTTACTTTGGCCAGGTTTCCGAGAACGCAAAACGCCGTCCAGGCATACTGTAGAATGAATTTGGAAAGTACAGTGTACAACAATTGGAAGGGCAAGACAATGTTATATTAGGGAGTGGGTCAGTTGGGGAAGGGGACAGGAAGAGATTAAATGTAACAGGTTTCTATAAATAAATAAAGTAGTAAATAAAGTACCCATTCAGAAACAAAAGCTATTAGCGCATTGGACACAAAGCCATAGAACAGAACTGTGAAGCTGTTGTGTTTTTGTTAATCTATACTGCTTTCATAATTTTTTTTTTACCAGCCTGCAGCCAATGTTGTTGATGTCAAACAAAATTACGCAGTGTTAATTCTTGAAATTTGTTCTCCGTTCAATTTGAAGCAAAAGTATATATAAAATATAATCAATCTATAATAAATAGTTGTGAAGCTGTGGTATTTTTAGTACATACAAAAATACATGTTATCTGAGAAAGTGCAATGGTTAACGGGCTTAACAGTGGGTTAAATACGAGCACACTCTAATCAAGTGAACGCGGTAATACATTGGCTGGCATCCACATGCCGGCTCAAATGAGGTGGATTTCAAATTCCAACGAATCAGACGAATCTATCAAAATTTACCTTGGTTCCCAGTTTGGCCCAGCCTAAACTGGATACAAGGTAGATTTTTTGGGAAGTAAAAGTAGCTGGATGGATGTTGACTGCATTTTTACAGACCGATCGACACTCCATTTGTGATGTGATTAGTATTACACCAACCACCTGTTCTTCCCTTACATTTTAACGTGCATTTATTTGAAATCCCAATGCCTCGATGCGACCCAGCCATTTACAAACGGCACTCACACAAGGTAACCCTTAAACTAATTACTCACTTTGGGGTCGCGAAGCGTGTGGTTGTAGAGGTCAACGAGCTGGTCTGTGAAATTTAGGACCTGTTCTACTGTCAACCTAGTGGGATCTGAAGTATCATCTAGCAAACTTTGAAGGTTTCTCATGGCCTCATCTGTGAGAGGAAATAAATTATTAGACTTTTGTACACAATGGGAGTTCCTTGGCTAAATACTTGCTTACCATCTTCAAGGCGTTGAGTTCCAGTCTTTATTAAGACATATTTTTATAACAGACTAAAGTTCCCTAGGCTGAAACAGTTGATCTTCTCTCTGTGGTTTCACTGTCTCCATTTTGGAAGCGTGCTGTAGGAGCGGCTAATTAGTGCTGTTTCCCTTGAAGTTGGTGTGCATCTGTCTGAAAGGCTAGGAACCAACTGTCAGCATAAAAAAAAAAAAAGCCAGATCTGTAAAAAGTATGTTCGGGTAACATTTAAATTGTGGAACAAGACCAAGAGCAGCCAGAACTTTCGGTTCACAGCCGGAAAGAAGAAGAGGAAAAGGAAGAAGAAGAAGAAGAATACACAGTAAAAGCAGGATATTTGTTCAAATTTAACATTAAAGCTCTTGCGGTAGATAGAGTCTAATAAAATTTAAAATTTTTTTCTGTAAGTTGTTTGGGAAGGAAAGGCAACAAGGAAAATAACTGGTCACCAGCCTCACGGTAAAGCTGACGTTCAACATCCCAATATCAACAACTGAATTAACACAGCTTTTATATTAATTAACGTTTTGTTGCAGAAATACTTTTGAAATCATGCCAGCCTTTTCGCTAAAATACTATTAAATATAATTATTGTGCATAACGAATATATCTGAACGATCCCCTGTAGAGTGAGCTTAAAGCAGAGAAAATACCTACAGGAAGGTCAAAGCTACGCTATTAATGACATATACAAACATGACCTAGAATATACCAATATTGACATATAACAAATGAGTGAGGTCAGCTGAAGACCGACTCCTATGGAGGCCGACAGAGAAAGATCACGGACTGACGCACTTTGCAAGAGGACTAACGCAGCAATCTATAGTTACCTTTCCGGTAATCGCACCTGACACCTCCAAATAACGCGATCGCCTCGTTGCAGGATAAGTTTACTTAGACGCATGACCAGCTAGCCACCCTTAAAACAGAAAGTGTCTTGAACAGCCATGTTTACCACAAAGCTTGAATCCACAACGCTGGAATACGGGGATCCTCTCAGGACATTAAAATAGCACTATCAGTTTTAACAATTCATATTAACCCAGGACTGATGGAAAAACAAACAACAACAATAATTACAAACACATCGGACTATAATGCTATGACTATTATATAACAAACACTTGAAGATAAGATATCATTGCTAGGTTTCATTGTTTGCACGTAAGGAACAGAAACATACAGACGAAGAACCATTGATGTCGTAGACACAGTAAGTTCCAGAAACCCTTTTCAACTAGTGTGTTATATTTAGGGTCCCCGACGACAACCGGGGCGTTGCTTTGAAATAACGGGAACAAATTGCTTCCCATATTGGGGAGAATTGCAAGCCTCAACCAAAACCCAACATATACATTTAATTTCAGGGCCTGGCAATTATTACTTCAAACACTTTGACATCACAAAACAGTGAGAGTAAAGGCAATTTATGTTACATAGAAATACAAGTTGATATACAGATACAGTCTTACCAACAAAACATGGCTCTCCTGTAACATCAACTGTGTCTGTCTCTAGACAAGCTGGGAGTTCTTGCTCGCACCGTAAACCTGGGAGAATGATATATAGTTTTCAAAAGTATTGAATGTGTAAGACATTGTGTTGCAATAGCGACTGAATGACTGACTTTCTACCCCACCAGGTCATCACACTAACGATAAACACCATGTGGATGAGGATTACGGTGGAGAGGTCCCAGAAACTGCGTTCAGCCATTAGGACATATTTATGGCCGGGCTTTATTGCGGCCCCTGGCAAGAGCCACTGTGGGGCTTCAAATAACGAAAAATTTCATCCTAAAAGGAAGGTAAATATATGCTTTTGCAATAACGAAGGAAAGGATAGATAACAACACAAACCATTGGACGAGGAGACGGAATAGCAAAAAGCAATGAATGTACAAACCTAGGACAAAGAGAGATAACATTAAATATCACTGAATATGTAAACTGTGACAAGGAGAGGTAAAAACAAAATATATTGGATAAAGAGAGATAACAGAAAAAAAAAAAAAAAAATTATGAATCTATAAAATTGGACAAGTACATTTAACAAAAGACTATTGAGCAAAGAGAGATAACAGCAAAATCTATTGGACGAAGGGAGATAACAAAACAAAAAGTAATGAATATATTAACAAGGGATAAGGAGAGTTAAAAAAAAACACAAAAACAACAACAATTGAACCAAGGGAGAAAGCCGAAAGAAAAGTACGGAGTATGTACACCTGGGACACTGAGAGTTAACAAAAAAAAAAAAAAAAAAAAAAAAAAATAGGACTGGACAAGAGACAAGGAGAGTAAGTAACAAAAACGATTCCATAAATAGAGATAACACCAAAGATTATCTAACTCATCCCTTATGTGGAAAACAATGCTTTTGGTATCTTAAAGCCCTCTATGGCTGTTGCCAGAAGCCGCAATATAACCTAACGGTTGAACACAGTTTCCGAGACCTCTCCACGGGTGATCCTCATCCGCATGGTGGCACTTTGTGTCACCGGATGTTTATCGCTCTCTGTGATGTCCTGGTAGGGTTACATTTACTTACTTACTAACACCAAAGACTATTAATCGTCTCTGCCCATGCTCGCCACAATATGGTACAACTGGTGTGTGTTGTTTTAAAGGCGGCCTTAACATAACCTGACTTTCCCCGGGATATTTATTTTCCCGTTTCTGTATGTCCCACCCGTGTATTGGCTGGACATCATCGACCTGGCTGCTTCAAGATACAAAGATTAGTGAGATTGTGTATTTGTGTAGTATTGTCTAATTTGTGTATGTTCTGATGAAGGCTTCATAGCTGCAACGTTTACGTTTTGTTTGTGTTTATTATATTGTGAAGTTTGCCGATATGCTTTTGGTTCGTGTTTATATCTTTCCTTGATAACATAACCTAACAGTTAAACAGTGTTTCTGATATTTATGCCTTGGTGATTCTCATCCGAATGGTGGCACTTTGTGCCACTGTGTTCTTACTGCTCGTTGTGGGGCCCAGGTGGGTTGAATCTCCTGGCTCACATAATACTATTGACATACATAAGATGCTACACAGTAACTCCAGTAATCCTACACTTAAAACACGCACAACTCAATCATTTACATCAATTTACACAAATTCTAATAAACAGCGACTTGTATCTTAATACCTGTAAAACCTGAAGGACAAAGGCACATGCCATCTCGGCAGTGTCCTCCATTTAGACACTGAACATTAGCGCAAGAGTTGACGGGAAGCTCACACTGTCTGCCTGTAAAGTTCTGGTAGCAAGAGCAAACATACTGGACACTATCTAGTACTGAGAGATCATCTGCATCGTCGTCGCCACTATCACCATCAACTTGACAGTCACCATGAACACAAGGTGAAGATATGCAAGGGTCATTGATCTGGCAGTTTTTCCCCGTGAATCCTTTCTTGCACTCGCATTGTAATGAGTAGGTTTCTATGGACGCTTGGGTTGTCGGGCCAGGTGCTTGCAAGTCCACAACTTGACATCTGTTTGAAAGTATTATCACTGGGTTAACAGATATATCAGGCATGTAAGTGGTAGAGCTACAAGATTGTTAACATTGAATACAATAATGCAATGTACACAAGTTGAACAAACTGTTTAATGTAAAAATATGGGTGCTCTCTTTATACCACAAATAGAGCAATTGTTAAAAAACTAGATGCTTTTTGTTGTTGTTGTTGTTTTTGACATTATAGCTGTTTTCCTTCAAGAATATGATTATTAACAGGCCTTATGCAACATTTAAATATGTTACACAGAACGGTTACTGAGCCACAGATTTTATGGTTGAACGACTTTTAGAACTGACTATAGCCTTCACTATCTTCCTTCCTCTCCCCTTATCTCGTTTCCTCCATCGCTCTCTAAGTCACCAAGCGTATACATCACACTGAGCGCCTCTCACATAGTTAACACTTATCTTCCGTCATTTATATAACTGCAGTTGTCTGGCTAAGTCTACAGCCCCTTTGATCCAACCCCTTGAGTTACGTTGCACATACATCACTGATAGCCTAGCCTGTTGTGCCCACTTGGCCAAATTACGGCAGTGTTGTCCTCATTATGTCAAGCTATATCAAGCCTCACACTTCAATGTGTTATTTTTCCTCCTGCAAAACTGTGTTTTCATTTTCCATCTGGTATTGTCTTTTGGAGGATTGACATTTTCTAACAGATTTACTAATCGCCTGCGCCCTTCTTGTTCTTTTTCTTATCCTGTATGTACGTATGCGTGCGTGTTTGTATTTACTGTGTGTGTATGCACGAGTATGTATGCATGTTTATATGTACTGTAGCTAAGTAAGTGCGTGACGGAGTGGTTATGTTTGTGTGTGTGTTTGTATGTGTATGTGTGTGTGCCCATTTTATCATCCATGCTTTTGTATTTTTTATCTTGATATTCATGCTATGCATATTGTTACATGTATATGTACATAACAATTTGTATTGATAAAATACAACTGCTGTGTGAAAGGTGGGTGTTTCGAAGGGTCGAGTGTAAGACGGGCGTGCGTGCCCGGTTTGTGACCTTTTGAAAATAAAGTCTATTGTTCGTTACTTTTCTTCTTCTTCTTCTTCTTCTTCTTCTTCTTCTTCTTCTTCTTCTTCTTCTTCTTCTTCTTCTTCTTCTTCTTCTTCTTCTTCTTCTTCTTCTTCTTCTTCTTCTTCACCGGCTGTAGACTCCGGTGGAAAGTTCTGGTTGCTCTTCCACTCCTGGGCTTTGGTTTTAATCCTGAACTTGAATTCGTGCACTGTGTAGTCTAAACGGGTTTCCAGGATTTGTACCTATTAGATTCTCATCCGTGAGGTGTTTCAAGCCGGCAAACATGGAGGGGACAAACTACCTACATATCCAACTAATCGAAGTACAGTCCTTGCCCATACAGTACTGCAGGAAACACGAGGCTGGGGTGATAGTTACGAGTGACCCAATTATAACTTCTTCGGTGGTTGAAGGGGGATATGGGAACTACCCTGTTGATCTGCAATCCAGATTGAGATTTTGTAATCTCAGGATGGTTCATATTTTCAGGGGTTTGCCCAGCTCTCTAGCGTAGCTGGTTAAACCTGACTTTCGCGGCAGTCGGGTGACGAACTCCTTGGGGTCCGGGTTCAATCTTGGGGGTAGGCAGAAAAGCCACATTTCTCCCAGATTAACGGTACCTATCATGGAATCAAGGCCGAAGGGTTGCGATAACCAAAGTACCGAGCCAAAGGGTTTACAACTCATGGTTTCTGGATACTTAAACAAAACAAAAAAAAAAAAATCTTCAGGCAGCAGCCCAGACTAAAAAAAAAAAAAAGGGCTTGATCAAAATTCTCCACTTCAGACTATTGAACCGTTACATTAGGCACCATGGGGCTAAACCAAGAACCAGCTATTGTGTGTGTAGGAGACTGTATAAGAGATTAAACAGGATATCTGCACATTTCACCGTTCTGGCTTTCTTTCTGTCTGGTGAAATTTCAAGAAACCCTTTTTATTAAAACTGTATGATTTTCTGGTACTAATGCTGATTGTCCGTGTCAAGTTCCTGTTATGTAAGTAATGCATAATTCCTTACAATTAGAAATCAAGTTAAGGTTTATACCACTTTATCTTACTTATGCCCTAAGAGAGCGGGGCATATATACAGTGACACACAATCAGCTTCCTCCTGTTGTAGTTTCGTATCTTTAACGCTGAATGATTTGTGGATTTGATGTATGAACTATGTCTCAGAAATTTACTTTACTGCATAGACTAATGATTTATTATTTGAATGCTTTGACAAAAAAATATCGGTACTATAGTTTTAATAACAGTAAAAGTTATGCCTAACAAGGAAATTTCCCTCGAAGTCGTAGTACATCTGCCCGCGAGGCAGGGAACAGCAAAACGGTTGTACAAAACTCAGGTCCAGGTAAAAGCTAAAAGTCCAAACGGAAGATTAATCAGGACCTTCCGCCGGAATTCACAGCCGGTGAACGAAGAAGAAAAAGGAGAAGGGGAAATAGCCGTACACAAAAACCAAACTACAAAAAAATTCAACGAACAAAAATAGTATACTATACAAAACACGGAGAAAGATATTAAAGAGTGAAGTTACAAATATTCGAAAACATCGGATGAGCTACACTCGAAAGAACACTATAGGACGACTTGGTATACATTGATTTAGGAACTGAGGCTCAATTTGGGAATAAATGGAAGAGAAGAAGGAGGAGGAGGAGGAGATGGAAGGGGAAGGAGACGGGAAATAGGAAAGACAGAAAAATCATTGGTATACTTACTCTCCGCCATTCCTACAAGGGTCTTTCCTAGGAGCGCACGGACTTTCCACTTGACAGAGTTCTCCAAGCCAGTTCTCCTGACACTGACAGGTAAAGTTTTCTTGGCTGACATTCTGACAGCTTGCCCCGTTCTGGCACTCGTGTCTAGAGCACGGATTAAAAGCTGAGCAATCGTCCATGTAGTAACCGTCTTGACAGATGCAGCGGGACACTTTGTTCGGAATATCTTCACAGGTACCTCCGTTTTTGCATATCTGATTGACATAAAATACTTTGACTATATTAAATGCCACAATGATCTTGACAGAATATTACTCTGCCCTCTAATAAGCATGTCGTAAAAGTCGACTAATTAGGGGTGTTTCTTTCGAAATTGGAGTGCGTCAGTCTGACAGATGAGCGACCAACAGTCTGCATATACTTATGCAAAATCTGTAAAATGTAAATGCACGCAAAACTCAAGTTCTGGATAGAAGCCAAAGTCAAAAAGTGGTAAAACAACCAGAACTTTCCACTAGAGTTTATCGCCGGTGAACGCAAACCAGATGAAGAAGAAAAAGAAGAAAAAAAAAAGAAGACGAAGAAGAAGAAGAAGAAGTAGTAGTAGTAGTAGTAGTAGTAGTAGTAGTAGTAGTAGTAGTAGTAGTAGTAGTAGTAGTAGTAGTAGTAGTAGGAGTAGTAGGAGTAGTAGGAGTAGTAGTAGGAGTAGTAGTAGGAGTAGTAGTAGTAGTAGTAGTAGAAGAAGAAGAAGAAAATAAGAAGAAGAAGAAGAAAATAAGAAGAACAACAATAAGAAGAAGAAGAAGTAGTAGTAGAAGAATAAGAAAAAAAATGAAGAGAAGAAGTACGCACAATTATTGAAAAAAGAGGCAGGGTTCGACCATCGCGACAATAGACACTGGATCTTAAAGATGCCCTGGGCATGATAGTTCACAAGGCGGGACAAGTGAGAAAGAGGGCAAGTGTTTTTTCTAGATGTCGGATAAGAACTGCCATCCGCGCAGGATCCAGTTATAATTATAGTGACGATGATGATTGACAACACTTGCAGAATCAGCCCCAGATTGTCAACCACCAAAAAAAAAGGACACGTATACATGGATATCCTCAAACCCCCCCCCCCCCCCCCCCCCTACACACACACACGCACGCAAGCGCGCGCGGACACACACACTCACATACACACACGCACACTCACCCATCCAAAACCCACCAACCAACTCATGCATGCACGCACGCACACACACATGCGCCCGCACACGCACACACACTCACATACACAGAAACGCATGCACGCACACACACAGTTTACAAGGCGGGGCAATTGACAGGGAAGCCAAATGGTTTTCCACTATGTCGTGATGAGAGCAACCATCTGCAGAGATGATTGTGATTATGTTGATTGACAAGACTTGCAGAATCACCCTTTGATTGTTGGATTGTCAAGGAACAAAATAAGGACACTTATGGACAGATACGAAATCACGAAATCAGACGAATGCTAGGAATAAAGCCAGTCTTACAGGTCATCAAAGAACTGCAAATGAAGTGGTTTGGACACCTAACAAGAATGCCCTGGTACTATCCGCCACAGCGAGCCACACTAAAACGTTACAACGGGTATAGAGCGAGTAGAAGACCTCAGAAAATATGGAGTGATGCCATTAAGAACAGCCTTTCAGAAATGAACATCAGTCTTAATAGTGCTCTTGACAGAGCCCATCAACGAACATTACATCTCCCCCGACACTTCGATGAGGTACAAGGTGGAAGAGAAAAAGAAGAGGAAGATAAATAGATATACTAAAATATCCTTACATTCTACGTAGGAGATACTCAACTGTGGTATATCTGGAATTATAAAACTTCTACTTTCTTTCGGTTATCCTATCGTTTATGCCAAAAAAAAAAAAAAAAAAACATCATAGAGATGATATATATATATATATATATATATATATATATATATATATATATATATATATATATATATATATATATATATATATATATATATATATATATATATATATATAGACATATATATATATATATATATATATATATATATATATATATATATATATATATATATATATATATATATATATATATATTCGCTATTTGTTTGGCCTGTGTTAAAATCATATGGCGTTTCTGTAGTGTCACTTTTTTTCCCTCCACATATCTCTTTCTGGAAGGGGGCTGCGTAGTCTTAAGGCATGGTGTCCGCTTTGAGTGCTAGAGCTTCCCGGTTCAATCCTCGTTAAGGGCTGGGATTTTTTCACGTGGACTTGGACTTGAAAAGAATAGCCTAACGGCGATGCCCAGGCAAAATTTAGAGTTTAAAAAAAATCTACCCAAAGTATTTCAGGATCCTCGCCGGTGCTACACAGTCAGTGCACTGTGCTGAGCTACTTCGGACTCAGACTTGAGTTACAAGAAAAACGGAGCACTTATGGGTTACACCCGTGTGCCATGATGTTGATCCGTTGTTCAAAACCTCAAATCTCTTTCTGGGTCGGTCTCTTCACTACTAGACTGCTGTTCTCATTTAGTACCCTTTAGCTGCTGGCTGATTTTGTTCTTTCTGACCAATGACCGAACAAATTGTTTCTTCATTATTTTATATTAGGAGGAAATATAAATCTAGTTCTGTTTGGGCTAGTGCTCTGGTGACATACTGATTAGTTGGCTTGCCTGCTATGACAGTGGTCTGAGGTTGAATCCCCAGAAGTGGCAGGATGTTCTCCAACCAGTACGGTTCTGGAGTAAATCCAGCCTAATACTTTGAGATCAGATTAAACAATCAGGTGCCGTCTCCAGAATAAAGAGTGTTAAAAGTGGGAGCCTTAAACATTAACAAATATCTCGAAAAATTCAGTACGGATCAGAACTTCTGCTTGTCGTCTTAATTTCTCATGTCCTTATGATTTTAAAATTTACAACTGTACAGGTGCTGCTGTTTACTTAAAGCAGCACATTTCTTTGATATTTGTTGGACTAATAAATTGTATACTCCTTAAAAAACACAGTATGTTATAATTGAACCCTCACAGATTACGGTAATGGGAATACATATAAACTGAGATACAATTGTGTAAATAAGAATATACAGTACATGACTTCACTCTTCAAAATAAGTGTTTATTGGTTGTTTTCACGCATGGCCTACCTATAAAATGTATGCAATTTGATAGTTTGCAAAGTTCACGCCATTCCATTACTGTGAAAATGGTAACTGAATGCTTTGAATCGGTTTAAAAAAGACATTTATATCGTAAATAAGGCAACACAAGAACCAGATGTTTGTGTTCATTATAATTTGAACAAAGTAGACACAAATATTAGACTGCACAATTTATTGCCTGGCATATTTCGCTGTATCTCGTCAGGTGCATACTACAGTAACAATTGAATAAAATGAAGCAAATAGCTAAATCCTAGAAACTAAAACACAAATTCGAGTACAATCTAAACTGTCTGTTTCACCAAGGTAACCGTAAGGTAACAAGGTAACGACCATTTCTTTCTGCCTACAGAGATCAGTAGTATGCACCTGACGAGATACAGCGAAATATGCCAGGCAAAAAATTGTGCAGTCTATTGTTTGTGACTTCTTTGTTAAAATTCACATAGGGTAAACACTGCTTTGATTTTCTGATACATTATAATTATTTTTGTTACAAAGGTGTGATTGTTAACATGTTGCATGCCAAATTTCAACAAGTTACAGATTTTAAAAGCTGGGCATAACTTCTGGAACGCATTATAATAAGACAGCTAAACAAAACTCTTCCTTGCCCTTCGCCGCGGCAGCATACGAAATTATATAAATTAATGATAATCACAAGGTTGTGAAGCATTAACACTTTTCAACATATCTGAAGATGACTTACATCTAAGGTACATTTTCTGGGGTCGCTGCAGTCAACTCCGGACCATCCTTCTGGGCAACTGCAAGTGAAACTGTTTCTCTTGTCTACTGTAGGGCCTGTGCTAGTACACGTCCCTTGGTTTTTGCACGGAGAAGTAAGGCACACGTCGAATCTGTCACAGTTCTGTCCGTAGAAGCCATTACGACACTCACATCTGTTAGTGATGAAATGTTTTTTAGGCATTTAGTAGCCAAGTGTGTAAGAGATATAAAATGTCACAGATTTTGTATAGTTAGGTTCTTCTTCTTTGTTCTTCTTTACGTTTACTGACTGTAAACTCCGTCGAAAAAATCTGGCTGTTCATCCACTTCTGGACTGCAGTCCTGTTTCAGAACCTGAGTGTTACGTGTGCCTCCGTTTGACAGATTAGACTCATTTGCGTGCAGACTGTTTGTTCTTTGCCTCTCAGACAGATGAACTCTGACTTGGAGGCAAGCTCCCAATTAGTCGACTTTTAGGACATACTTTAGGGTAGGCAGTGGGTCTAATCTTGTTTTCCCTATAATAGGGCCCCGGAACCCACACGGGGCGTATAGTTACGTTCAATAATGAAAAACAACGGGACTGCACACAAGAAGTCATAAAAACGCATTTCTTTAGCAATTCTGAGGCTAAAGATCATGAAGAACTTAAGATACAGCACCTGCAAGCGAGCTAAACATTTTAGGATCATGTATCCTTCTCGTGGCAACTTTTGAATGTAAGTCATGAACTCTTAATCATTGAAATAGGAAATCAGAGCTTTTGAATTCAAATACTACAGAAACAGTCTTATAATAAATACTGGAACCAAATAGAAGAAAAACACCGACATCCTATTTTGAGCATTGAGGTTAAGTTGAGTTGAGTTGAGTCAAGAACTGACATCACGGCAATCGGGGCATTTCCATACACGCTCCGTCCCCATCTTCAGCAGCCAGCGCAGAATTCCAATACTTATGGTACCAGTCACAATCTGGTTAAATGTCCGTCTTGCCTTTTCTCTGAGTGTAGTGAGCCGGCCAGACTCTCTGGTTACACCTATGTGCCTTCCTGACTCCAGGCCATACACATCTTCTTTCTTTACTCATATCGTTGCTTGTTCACAAAGTTCCTTGACCACATCTGCCTTGTCATGTATCAATTCACCACCCAGTGGTACAGATATTGACAATCTGTCTGCCTGTTTATTACTGAGCATCGGGGATAACCAGCTGATAAACAGAATCCTGCCCCGAAAAGAAGATCAGGTATTTTTGGCCATGTTAAAGGTCATGTTGGCCAGAGAGAACGGTGATGGCAAGCATGGTTTCCGGAAAGCGAGGCAGAGACAGACCTCAGCGAAGTGGCTACAAGACTAAAGATGCATTGACCATGAAAAAACATAAGGCTAGACAAGTGGCTTAGGAAAGAAAGTCTTTCAAACGTGACGTGACAAGAGCGACGCTCTGTAAAGGACATGATGATTGATGATGAGCCAAGGGAGTTGTACGAGCATCATCATCACCATGACGCTAATGATCAATTTCTTGTGTTCATAATCAACATTATGAGCATCCCCATCATCATAATTATAAACACCATTAACTTAACATCACTTTCATTATCATCGTTATCAGCATCACTATAATCGATATAGTAGTCCATAACGTAGTCATCACCTTGGCCACATGCATTATAGTCATACTCGTTTTCTTCACTATCATCATTAAAATTATTGTTATCATAGCTATCGTAATCATAGTTATATTTATCAACGTTAATCATGTTTGTCAGCACCATTGTTACCATAATCATCGATATCAAATTAATCATCAAACCATCGTCTTTATCATCACTTTCAGCATGGTTAACAATTGTATCATCATAGTCGCCGTAAAAGATCTTCTTCATAATGATCAAGACCACTTTCGTTACCGATCATCATGGCCATCCTCAATGGTATATCAGTATCAACGTCATCATTATCGCCATGATCATCAATATCCACTTCTGCCGTTAAGCGGCGCTGGATAAAAACAGTTTGTGATCCGCTTCTTTATGGACAACAATGGCTACTGTCATTGTGTATCCATGTAAAAGCTCATTATTAATGTCATCAGTCCATATTCTCATGGGGTGACCTTTTGCTTTCACATCAGATCTTTTCATGTGTAGCGCATGCGTTGGTAGTTGGTCTGTCTGCATTCTTACTAGATGACCGAACCACTTCATCACTTTGACTCACTGTCTGAAAGTCTGACATGTCTGAAAGTCTGACACCCCTGCTATTCAAAGAGTAACATTATTTTCAAAAATGACTCCCAGGTCGACCCAGCCTTGAGTGGGTACCGGGTGCAGTCCCTGGAAGTACACGCGGCCGGCGTGATGCTGACCACATCACTTATCTTGTGCCGATTTGTCTATAAATATATAGGTCTAACCCTATATGGCCTTTACGCCTAAAGCTATGGAAAAGGGACCTCTAAGTTTGTGTGTGTGTGTGCGTGTGTGCGTGTGTGGATGTATTCAAAGTTTGTAACATTTTGCAATATCTTCATCGTCAGCTGCGATATTTTTTTACAATAAGTTGTTAACAATACACAATTACCGTATATTTTGTGCAGAGTCTAGCTTACACTGTCCGTTGTTGCAGTTCACTCCAAAACAGTGGTTCTTATGTTGACATTCGTTGCCATGGAAACCTGGCAAGCACTGACACACATACGTGCCTGGAATAGGACCGTTGGTACAGTTGCCACTGCTGAGGCAGGGCTGCAAGTAGCAAGGGTCGAGGTACTTACACCTGTCGCCGGTTGCTACGGGAGGGCACTGAAGGAAAGTGAAAACTGTGTCAGTAAACAGTGGAAATGTCCTAACTCAACTCTTTCATTACCAACCAACTCACCATACGTTTGTTAGCTGCTCTAATCATACCACACATCTTTAAATTAGACCTTCTCCTCGAGTTATGAACTTGCGAGTTACTACAATCCACTGTTACGACTACAAAGAATTATTTCTCTATAACTACTTTCTGCATTTACAGTTTTTAGGGCATTGCAGACAGTGTAGACATTAGAGGACTGATAGGGGAGGGGGGGGGGTGTGAGCCTTTGGACTGAGGGCAACATGGCTGTTATTTGTTTAGTCTTTTAAAAGCTGCTGTTGCCTTACCAATGCCTATTATAATTTCTTTCTGTGGTTTCCACTTGCAATCAGAATTGCTTGTAAAAGTGTAAACTGGTCGTTTACTTCAATTCTTTTTCATTTCCAGTGTGACTTCTTGATCTGTTATTGATATTTTCATTTTATGTGTATAACAAAAGGCTAAACGGAACGATAATTACTACTGATGTAAAACTCACCGCGCAGGTAAAACTGTCTCCAACCGGTATGCAAGTGCCTTGATAACTGCATGGCTCATTCTCTAGAAGACAAGCATTCATATTTTCACACCTGTCACCGTAGTAACCTACAAGGCATTCACATTTGTACTGGTCACCTGATACATGCTTGCAAGTGCCTCTTTTTTCTGTACACGGAGATGGAGAACATGGGTCTTGAATCTGCGGATACAACCGGTTCTCAGATTATGATGAGATAAGATATAATAAGACACGAATATACGAATCCCACCCACAATTATTTTACACATTTAAACACGTGTTTTCTCCATGTGGGCTCTGGGGTCTTATCGTGGGGGAAATGAGAATAGACCCACTCCCTCCCCAACAATGATATCGTAGGTGTCGACTTACATGGAACCGCCTTCGAAGTCGGAGTGCATCTGCCCGAGCAGCAGGGAACAACCAACTGCACACAAATAAGCCAGTAAAACGGAGGTGCACGCAAAACTCAGATCCTAGCACAAAGCCAAAGTCCAAATCGACGAACAAGCATAATAAAGAAGTAACACGAATTTGTTTCAGATGTATTAAAAACAGGAATGACTGCAGTCAAGCTAATACCAAGCTGTCCCGGAAATGGTGGTTCGAGTACTTCGCCCTTTGCTGCTGTTGTGTAGTTCATGTCGAGAAAGGCTATGGCCTAAACGTCGATTTGTCCGTTTTATGCACGTAGTTCCTCTTCCCATTTTCTTTAAGCTTTTTAGTCACACTTCCTTTGATCAGTTTCTGCAAACGTACTGATGTCACTTTTTTTTTGAAGTAAACAAGGCAGGTCTACAATACTGTTCATATTATGTGCTATGGAGGCGAGCAACTTCAATCCCACGTCTACTCATAGTAAAAAAAGTAAAGATCCCTTTTTACGCCTTATGCGCATCGGGCATATGGGAAGAGAACCCATATTTTTACAGACCATCGGCACTAGGTGGGTGAGCATTACGACATCCGTCTTTACTTCCCCAGGACATTTATCCTGGAACCCATTTTAGGCTGGGTCGACTTGCGACGCCCTATACCATGACAAAAATCCACGTAGCCAGCAGTGGGTCTTGATCGCGGTACGTTGGAATTACAAGTCAGACTCGCAACGTCTTAGCCGCGGACCCCGCACGTCGACGCATAGCAACTATAAATCTATCGTCTAGAAAGACGAAAAGGCGCCAAAAATCAACTTATGTGAAACTTGACTCATTCTTGTGTACAGCTATCTGGGACGGATATAAGCTAACCTTTGCGTGTCAACTGTACGAGGCTCTTAAAATGATTGCGGTTAGATTGGTTTCATGTTGAAGCTCTGTTGTCTTGTCCCTCCAGTTTTTCAGTCACAGTCTACGATGTGTTTAGTACTCCGTTGATGAACACTTTAGTCAAAACGTTCAATTGTATATGTTTCTGTTCCCTCCGTTGAGCTTTCTAGTGGCACAGGGGTTTTATTTAGCACTTCTTGGTATTAGCTGGACTGCATTCACCCAGTTATTACGTCATTACTTATAGTTACTGTGAACCACTACACGGCATTCCGCGTTTGTAATGTAACTGTAATAGACGCAGTTTCCACATTCTGACCTACCGGGGCGACAAGGAAAGTAACATTTGCAAAGTAAAACTACACACATCCAACAAACGCTGGTGCTCGTTCGCGCCGTCCTGTAAAAGAGTACACAACAAAATTAACTACACTAAACCACTGCATATTTGAAAACAAATGCCTGAGAAAAATGATTCAAGATGGTCATGAAATAAGGGAAATGTTTCGGCAACCACTGGTAACAACAGTTATAAGACAGAGAGGATGGAGCAGTATTAGATAGATCCTGAGAATAAACGAGCTGAGAATCAGTAAACAGGCACTACAGTCGAAAATAAAGGGAATAAAGAAGCGAAGACGTCCACAAGAAACTTAAAACGAACGTCGATAAGAGAGGCCAAAAGTGATGGACTAAATTCCCTGCAGGATATAAAATGGATTGCACAGGACAGAGCGTAGTGGAGAATTAGACTGGGAACCCGATGTGACATATAATTGTACAACAGGACATCATCGATCAGCAAGTCGTTTACAAAACGGTGTTCTCTTCACAACACGCCTAAAAGTATCCCTTTCTCTAACCAGCTCTCAGCGTCTTGTGCTTTCTATTCCGACTCATCTCCAATGTCCTGTATCCATCTTCGTGGAGGGCGATCTCTGCCTCGCCTTCCACAAAGTACACCCTCCAACTCCGTCTTTTTCAAGCTCTTATAACATTTGATGTGGCCAAAATACTTTCACTTTCGGGACAGGATGTTGTTCATGAGCCAATTCTCCTGTATTTTTAACTTGTGTAGAATGTCGATGTTTTTCCTCTTCTTGATCCATGATATTCTGAGAATTCTTTTCTGTAACATTTTAATTCAAAAGCTCTGATCTTTTTCTTCAGTGACTGAGTGACAGCCCAGGATTCACAACCGTAAGTTACCACAGGGGAAATACATGATCTCAAGATTTTTACTTTAACAAATTTACAGGTGCTTTGCTATAGGTTCTGCATGCTGTTTAATCTCTGCATTGCTAATTGAAGTTTTCTTCTGACTTCTTTCGAGCAGTCGCCAATGTTGTTCACTATAGAGCCCATGTATTTAAAATCTGTAACATTTTCTATTTCTTTATTCTGAATTTTGATATGTGGTTGGTGAGCTGTATTTGCTGAGGACATAATTTAAAATTTCTAAGTTAAAACAAAAAATATTCCCTTCTTCGCTGTACTTTTTGTTGACCAGAATTAGTTTTTCTAAACCTTGTACACTATTGAAAAGGAGAACTGTGTCGTCTGCATATCTTAGTTCTGGGTTAGGATTATCTCTAATTTACATTGGATCAGGGCTCTCACATGCTATCATCGCTAACTGCGTTTCTTACAACATTTTCAGCATATTTGTTAAAAAGGAACGGAAAAGGAATGCAGCCCTGTCTCACTCCTTTCTTCACTTAAAACCACTCCGATGTTTCACCAGCTATTCTGATTGCTGCTTGTTGTTGATGGTAAAGAGAGTCCATCAAGTGCACCAGATGTTTTGGAAATCCCATGCCTCTCATGATATGCCACAATGTACGGTGTTGCACACAAACACGACAAAAGGATAATAAAAAATAAACATAGTCAAAGATTTACCTGGCATTTGTCACCTGTGAATCCCGAGGGACAGTCACACCGGTAACTTCCGTCGTCGAGTGCCAAGCAGGTACCAGAATTCTGGCACGGCTGGTCTAAGCATTGGTTGAAATACTGGCAGTTGAAGCCGTAGTAAGACTCACTAAGGCAACTACAAGTGTATGTCTGGTGACCCGTAAACTTGCAACTGTAGCCAACACAACAGAAAGTAGCATAAATAAAATATATTTGTCATGCCACTAGCCACTCGCGTGTATAGTATTAAATATATTAATTTACAGACAGATGTAACAAAGCAAACCAACTCTATGGACGAATGGCACCAATACTGGGGACAGCAGCTCTGGGTTTCCTTAGAATCAACAGGTGAAATGGTTGGCAAAATAAGGTAGATGTCAGCAGGCAGTATACCCCAGCAAGCCATGATGTTCAGACCGGGCGGGAAGAAAAGAGGCAGGCCACGCAAGCGATGGACAGAGGGAATTACTGAGTTCATGGAAATCCCAACTTATGAAGCAAACAAACGAGCCCTTTCCAGTAAATTATACGTCACCTCGACACACCAGGGTACAAGAGGATCAACATGAGATAAGATGAGATGAGAAAATAACAAACCCACTACCCTTAAACAAGCATGTCCTGAAAGTAATGACTTACTGAATCGAACGTGTTGGGTCAAAAGGTGGAGATACTGCAGTGTCAATGAAAAGAACAATACATCATCTAATAAACTGGCTCTTATTCTACTTTTTACCATCAAAAACTGAAATTATTCAGTGTGACAAAACACTAAGAAAGAACCTTCTTTTAAAGGAAGAGTGGTTTCTGGAAGGAAAGACAATGGTCATCTACCTGAAGGTGGACACATGGGACTGGAGACCTTGGACATGACAATTTACAGAACAGCGGAGGAGCATGTATGCCCAGGAGCCTGATGTGAGTGAGTGAGTGAGTCAGTGAGTGAGTGAGTGAGTGATGTTTAACCCAACCAGGACCGCACAACAAGCAATAAATACACTGTGATTCTAAGTGCCACCATTCGGATCATAATCACCCGAGCGTATGATTCAGAAACCCTGTTCAACCGTTAGGTTATATTTAGAGCCACAAACGATATGCGTAGCATATTGTCATCGTTATGTAAATAGAATCTGATTTTCTTCTTCGTCGTCTTCTTCATCATCATCATCTTCTTCTTCTTCTTCTTCTTCTTCTTCTTCTTCTTCTTCTTCTTCTTCTTCTTCTTCTTCTTCTTCTTCTTCTTCTTCTACTGCGTTCGACTTTCATGAGGTGGTTAGAAAGTTAAGTTGTTGTTTACATCTAGGATGTGATATCTGTGTCTTTCGACCTTACATTGATAATTATAGGTAATAACTATTTCTTACATCTCATTATCCCCACAAGGGGAATAAGCACACATGTCCTGCGATTCACAAATTACGTCACCTCAGACCCCCCCCCCCCCCCCCCTCTCGACACAATGCATGATTAATTGGTTTGGACGTGAGTGGTTGACACAGTCCGCCGTGTTCCTTTGCAGACCTT